CATAGGTCGAACCGAAGTGTGGGTGGCAATCATACGACGAATCGACTCCTCAGTGGGGGGAGGCAGGGACGACGTGTACTTCCTCTCATAAAAGCGGCGCAACTCCAGGCCAGCAGCTTGCTGACCTCCACGGTGCTCGATGTAACTGGTTTCGAAGGAAGTATGCGCTGCACTTTTACGTAGATACGTGATGGCCTGTCGATCCCCATCACGTGCCCGCTGGAGAATCTCGAGCTGATGAGCATGCCTGTCATGTGTGCGCCTAACTCGTATTTCAGACAACATGTGTGCCCTCGTTGAGGGGTCCTGGCAAACCCGACGCTCAGCAATAAAGCTCTTCAGCTCCTGGGAGTCCTTGTACCTCAGAGACGGAACCCTACGGTCTTTCTGACAAATCTCAGATAGACGCGAGGGACAGAAGGGCTCCCCCGAGGTAGCATAGTTTTCCAGCTCCTCAATGCTGGGGAGCCATCGCCCGCATCGAGTGCGAGGACGAGTGCCTCTAAAAAGTAGGGGTTCGGGTGTAGTGACTGTCAAGAAAACCGGAGAGTGATCGGATGGCAGAGCGAGCCTCATGTCATCACGCTTGTGTGCGCGGATCCTACTGGAGGACACACGCGAAAGCACTGCATCGATCTCACTCTCTGCCCCCCGGGCCGTCCATGTGATGCCAACAGAACGATGAGTGGTGAGCACATGCTGCTGCATGAGAGCACGTAACAAACCCATACCCGCAAAAGAGTCTGAAGACGCATGCAGGTCCTGGTTGAAGTCTCCACCAATCATGACGGAGTCATGGGGTGCGGCGTCCTGCAGATGCAAGTCCAGGGCCTCCAGAGTATCTTTCCAGACTTCCTCTGCCGACGATCGGGGACGGGCTTCCGTGCTAGTGCGTTTACTGTGCGGCAAATGCAAACATGCTAGATGAATTCTGTGATTTCGACATGCACCATGCAGAATGAGCCCTACGGGCAGCCCCGTTTTGTGTGTGGCATGGAACTCGAGCTCAGTTTTGACTAGGATGGCTTGGTTCAGATGGGCCTCAGGAGAAGCACAATGATACAACTTGAAAGGCACAGACCCCAGCATAAAATCCGAAGCCTGGACCTCAGGAGTGGCCCCTGGACATGCACCCAATTCCTGTAGAAACAAAAAGTCGGGGTATGAGACATTCCCCTGCCAAAGGTCAGCAACTTCACGGAGGCTTTTACCATGAAGATTCCAAGTACATGCTACGAATTCAGGTTTTCGGGCAATCCCTCGCGCTCTGTTCCGGCCCCCCCCCTACGAGCTCGAAGCATCAACCTCGAAGTGCGAGTAAATCTCCTTCAGTTCAATCCCCAGTGTCCGAGCAAGCAGCGGGCCTGGCACCCACCAGCCTGTTTCGGATCCGCGAACGTCGAGGAGCAGGAGGGCCCCGTCATCGGGGCGCTTTTGATCTACATGTGCCAGGACACTGATCCCGTTGGCCCAGAATCTGCCCCGCCAGTCAAACTCGAAATCTCGGGGCGAAAGGTGTTTGGACACGAGGTTTTTCAAAGAGACAATGGCCCGAATTCGAGCCCTCTCCTCTGGGCTTCGATTACGCTTGGCCCACAAGACCCCTGTCGGCTGTCCTTGAATACCGCTAGGCTGAGCTACCGACTTGAGGGCTTCAACACACATTCCCTGGACTTTGCGGCGCTGCGACAAAACGTCTTGCATGTACAGAAGATCAACCCTGCATGTATTAGACCGCACCGAGCTGCAATACATGGCCTGAAGTAAGGGCCCGCATTCCGCACGTGCAAACCACTCCCGAACCTCCCGCTCAATGTCCTCGCGCTTGGCATCTTTCCAGCCACCAAGGACGATTTGCCAGTCGTCATGGGTGGGCGCCCCCCCGCCCCCGCGGGGCGAGTGGGCCGGCGTGTAGCCAGACGCTACACTGGGGGACTTGGATCTGTAATCGCGGAGCTCCTGTTCCAATGCAGCAAGGCGCAGTTCCAAGGCTGAGGTCCGCTCTAAATGCGTATCCTGCCGGGACTCCAACGACTGGACCTTGGTGGCAATCCCCTGAACTGCCTCATTGTTACGTTCTATGGCCTGCATCTGGTCTTGGTGACCCCTGTTCAATCTATCAATCCCGGCTTGTAGTGCTGCTGCCCACGGCGGCGGGACGTCATCCCCGATGTCGTACTCCTGGGGCAGAGGTCGTTTCGTCTTATCTGGCGGACCACCTCCTCCAAACAGGGGCGGCGACTGCAACCCGAGTGGCGGTCCTTTGGCGAGGGTGGGATAGGGCTCCACTAGGGCGGGGCGGGCCTTTTTCTCAGGACTGGTTTTGGGAGAAGGCTTCGGGTTTCGAGCGGTGCCATGTTTGGCTAGGAGACTAGCTGCAACCGCCGCCGCTTCGGCCTGCTTGGCTTCAGTTTCAGCAAGCCCCACCCCCCTGCCCGGCCCCGGATCCGTTACCCCCGCACCGTCGCCCTCCCCAATAGCAGCACGAAGTGCCTCCCGTGCAGCATCCTTCATGTCCATATCGGGCTGGTCGCCCGCATGCAAGAGAGCCCCCGAGCTAATGGGTGTCCCCGCCTCATCAGTTGTGCCGGGAGCCCCTAACGGCCCGGCTCTATGCAGGTTCGGCAGGAGCAAGGTCTCGTCCTCAGACCCCGCCATCACCGACGAAAACGACGAGACGAGGAGAAGCAGGGGAGATGATGCACCGGGGAGGCCTCAGAACAGGACTGCGAGAGAGGGTCCGACTCAAGACACGGCCTGGCTATGCCCCGGCGCCAGCACGGCTCGCACTCGGGGGGGCACACTTCGCCAGCTGCCGGCAGTCTTGAGCCAAAAGGCACCTTGTACAGAGGGTTTAGGGTTTAGGGGTTTAAGGCTTACGAAGGATATCGACTCGCACGCTCGCAAGAAGGCAAGCGCGGATCCACAAGGTCTGACCAAGGATTTTCTTGCCTCCTGCATTGCTGAGCGAATCACTAAGCAGGGGTACAGAGATATACAGGCAAATTCACAGGACACCTTCACGTCCGGAGTATTCCGACTTGTAAGGATTTAGGGTTCAAGGTGATGCACATAGTCTCAAAAATTAACGCTCAGTCAAAAGCACCGCATGAGATGCAGCCTTTCAAGGCTCCGCAGCAAAACCGCCAGAACTCCGCCTTGTAATTGCGAACTCACGTCCAATCAGCCCTGAACGAGCAAAGCCCAAGGAGTCCCCAAAGGCATCGCCGCGACATCGCTGCGCCTGTCAGCCTACATCATCACTAACTACAGTATGCTCCTATTCTGTCCTTGCTATTCTGGAGTGGCTTGCTTTTCGATTGCCTTCGGAAGTTCTGATCGCGGTGGTCTGGTGGTCATACCGAAACTGGAGGCGACTAGGCTTGGATGACAGCGATCACCGCTGTTGCGTTTCACTCTTGCTGCTATTGAAATACTGAACATCATCGGGGTCATTAAAATGGCACTGAGTGCTGTGTTTTTGGACCCTGCATACTCCCGGGTTTTCATACCACAAACAGGACGCCAACACCCAAAACCCAGTTCTACCAAGTGGCTTACTTCCGCCCATCGCAGCACAGGCCACGGACCGTGGGGCACGGGAACCGGAGCTCTTCGTTCTCCTCCTTGCCTCAGCGTTTCGGTTTAGACATGCAATAATATACACATATGATTTAACTATATTTCAGTATGTGTGCCAAACTCTCTCTTTCTCCCTCGCTCGCTCGCTCTATATACACACATACATTCCATATCCGTATACACATATGCATATAGGTATACATATCTATACCTAGATTCTACTAGATACCGATACCTATGCCCCAACTATCCCCTACTTAAACTGTGTATGCATATCCAGAAAAAATATAAATATGCATATATATATATATATATATACTACAACTCTTCCGGCGAAGCCTGGGCCGAGATCGCCAAGGCCGCCCCCCAGGCGGCAACCCAAGCGGTGGGTGTCGCAGCGCCTCCGCAGGTTAAGGGTTCAAAGGGCCTTTTGAAGTCATACTTGTAGGAGTAAAATGCACTGATAGCATTTCGGGCTTAAAGGGTTTAGAATATAGGGTCTAGGCTTTAGCTTAGGACCATGAAACATCTCCTTGTGCAGGGTATCAGGTGTGCTTTCAACTGGTTGTTTCCTGCACATGTAAGCGGAGCGATCGGCATGCAGTAGAACAGGGAGGGAGAAGGAGAGCGAGAGAGAGAGAGAGAGAGAGAGAGCAAATCGACACCGCAGGAGCCCGGGAGTTTTGCCAAACCGCCTCCGAGGCTATGAGGTGATATATTGCGAGGTGATAAAACTCGCGGAGGTCTCGTTGGATTGGAAATATGAGCCGGAGGTCTGCCGTGGCTTCGGCCACATGTGACATGGTTTTTGAGGGCGTGCGTGTGTGCCATTGGCTTTCGTTTTGCTCGAAGTCCCAGCCACCTGGATGTCCAAGCGGTGGGCAGAGTCGTACTTACAAAGGTCCCAGGTGCGGCAAACCTGCTGCTTGCCAGCATGGGGCTGTCCATTTGCTTGATGGAAAACACCTCGCGCCGTCCAAGGGGAAAAACTCCCTGGCCTTTCCCAGCGAGTCATGTCTTGGGGAACGCGAGCATTAAGCCTTCCAAACGAACTACATCGCGGAGCAACTGAGGGGCCGAGACTCAACAGATAGCTCCAACGTTACCGCAGAGCTTCAAAACAAGCTCACAGCTGGATTTAGCTACAGAAACAGGGTGAGTCCTGCAGTTGGCTTGGTCTAAGTAGCATTTGCTCTGCGGCATCCGCAAAAAAAGTCCCACTGTAGGCCCTGCAGGCCGTCAGCCATGTGACGCACAAGACTCGAGCAGAACTTAATTGTGTCGACAGGCTGCGCACATCTAAGACGGTGCAGCCTGTCGGGACGATCAGGTTGTCCAACAGAACCATAAACGTGTGAAAATCTGCAGTCTTCTGGCAGCGGCACGCTTATGCTGCTCTGAACAAAAGGTCGAAGCCGTCACGAGAAGGGTTGAAATGCTGCCTTGGCTTGCTGTCTCTGACAAGCTTTGGACTGGGGCTGCCTCTGCTAGACAACAGGAAGGATGACCCACTTGCGGCAGATTGGTACCAGCTCAACAGACTTAGCCATGTGACAAGAGTTTTTTTGCCGGGACATACGCAAAAAGACCGAGCAGCTTGTGACATCTGGACCATGTTCGCCACCATCATGGATGCCTGCCTCAGAGTGTGAAAAGGACGACAGCCGTCACGCCTTGCGGAGGTCGGCGACGACCGCGATAAGTTCCGGGCATCTGCTGAAGCATCTGCATCTGCACGAGGTGGTCCTGTAGTTGCTGTTGAGCACCTGAGACGTATCGTGACGTAGATGCATCAGCCACGGTGGTCTTTGGTCGTCGCACCGAAGACCAGCATGAAATGCCCAGGCCATCCCTCTGGGCCGGGCCACGCTGCGATGCCACGGCTTGTTTAATGTCTTCCTGGACCGGGTCAATGAGCGTGTGTCATCTCTACTCGACTGTAGCACTTGGACCAATAGGCCCTTGCAATTATATAGGGAATGTGTATAGCAGTCCTGCTTCATCTTCTTCTTACGTCGAATCTCGCCCTCCGGACACAGGTGACCTGACGGCCGCCATCACCCACACACTTGTTGACACTTCTCCCTCATGCGCTCCAACCTTCAGCCTTTACCAAGTGCGTCCCAGTGGCAGTGCCTGCATGCCTTGCCGTTCTTGCATCCTTCACTTTTCCAGAACCTAGCATCTTGCAGGCACTAAGAACGCGACGGTTGGTCCCGACAAAGAACAACCTCCTAGAGAGACCCAGGGACAGACAAACCGAGCGAGAAAGAGAGGCAGAGAGAGAGAGAGAGGGAGATGGAGACAGAGACCGTACCGCGCCATGGATTCTTGCTGCACCTTGCAGAAACAGGTTTCTGGTGACCATGGGTCTGACTGTAGTAAAGCCAGCCTAGACTCGAATTTAACACTCGAAACCTTCAACCCGTACATCAACTAGTGAACCTGAGCCCAAACCGTTTCAAATTGCTAACCCCACTCAACTAAGACCCCGACACCCCTAAACGATAACCACCTCTCCACTCGAGAAATGGTGCCCCCCTAGACTCCTTGTAGAACCTGCGCAGTGGGACCTTGTAAACATCCTATAGAAGGCCTGGCTACTGCCTCTCAACCCCAGACTTCGTCTTGCATCGGGACTTGTGCAATCACCTGAGAGCATAAACCCTACTGCCCCTTCCCCCGAACCCAAAACCCGAAAACCCTGAAGCTTCAACCCTAAACCTTCATAAACCTCTTGCGACTGCCGGGTACCCCTGAAGAAAAGGAACCCTAAACCCCTGAACCCCTTTCCGCTGTATATAAACCCCCTGAACCCTACGTACTACCCAAGGAGCCAGGCACAAGGTCGGCAATCGACCCCATGCGCTGCCGAGCCAATGGAGGGTAAAGCCCGCACCGGGCCTCGATCCGGTTTAGGACGATCATTGGGTTTAAACTTCGTTTAGGGGTTCAGGGGTTCAGGGTTTAAGTTTAAGGCTTTAGGGCTTCATGGGTTTCGGCGCTCACACTCGGACAATCCAGGCGAGGCAGTTGGTTCGGAGTCTGACAATGTGAAACTAAAGATGGGTCAGCCATAGTACGAATCAGCAAGACATATCAACACATAAAGTGACTATACCTGCGGCGACTGCACCCTTCCCAAGATCTTACAAAAATGAAGCAGACCAAGAACCAGTAAGACCTTGGGAACAATGTAGCTACGCAGATCACTTCTTCGGGTTTGAGGAGGGTGTCATAACAGATGTACACAAGCCATAATGAGTACAAGGAACCGGGATGGTTCGGGTACATGTGATCTGTGTTAGTATCATCGTCTCGATGATAGCTGTTGTTTCTAGTCTTGTTAACTAGCTGTACATTCAAAGGGAGGTGACACTGGGCGGAGCTATGGGCTGAATGCTGGGAACTGCTGTCGTGCATTATTGGACTGCATGCACTTGCGTTGTTGCAGGTTTAGGGCTTTCGGGTCTAGGGGTTTCGGGTTTATTGGGTTTGGTTTTGGGCTTAGGGAGTTAAGGGGTTTAAGGCTTATTGGGTTTAGTTTAGGGATTAGGTGCAGGAAGTTAACCCGCCCGGCAGTTGAGTGTTTTGGGGTTTAGAAGTTGGGGCTGAGGGTTTAGGGGTCCAGGGATGAGCATCAAAACTAAAGCGGTTTGTTTCAGACTAGGGGATTTAAGGGATTTGGGGATCGGTTGTTGTCCAGCGGCGAGAAAATGTCGGAAGAGGCTTTGGCTCCCTAAGCCCTGAACTCGACATAGACATAGACCCTGTCTGAGCCCTTCATGCCGAACTCCGACACTTGATTCGAGGCATCGGCCAGGATCTGCCGGGGCAGATTCCGTGCTTGACTCTCCCATCGATGAGGGCGAAGCTTCACAGTCGATGACCTGAGTAGTGCGCATCTTCGGGTTCAGGCAGCTGGGTGTCGAGTTCAAGGGGTCGGCAGTCTTGTGGTGCCAGTCGCAGTTTCGTGGCTCGCCCCGACCCCCTGCGATTCCTAAAATCCCTACCGCTTTCATCTTGCACTGACAACTGAGCAGCACGCCTTGGGCTCTAAGGGAACCTCGCCACGTTTCAGGGCACCTCGGAGAGCTTTGATAATATTTGATAGTAAGGTGCCTTAGTAATTAGAGTATATTAGAATAGGGTTTTGGTGCCCAATATACTAATTTGCAATAAGGAGCCCCCCAAAATTGTCTAGGTCATTATTCAGGGCCCTATATTACCGCTGGTTTGACATCGGGCTGGGTGCGTGCGAATGACGCGGTTCCGCTCTTTGAGTGCATAATGCTTGCATTTCTCGACTATTTCTCGTTTCAGGTGTCTGGGTTTCGGCTCCATAACGTCTTTGGCTGAGTTTTGGTTGCTCGTCAAGCCCACATGAAGAGAACGCCAGAAAAACAAAGAGGATAGGTACGGTGGAAAATGCCAGCAAAATGGACAGACAATGACGGTGAAAAAACGCCAATAAGATGACAAGAGCAGTACACAAATCACTGTTGCAAATCACTGGCAAAGCTCCAAGAAAAGTCTGTCTTTTGCCAACACACGCAATTCCCAAATCAATGCAGCCCCCCAACGATGACAAAAACATGATTGATCAACGATTTACAAAACCAAGCTAGGCGACTAAAACACAATAGAGCGATGGTAGGAGAACGCGGTCCAACCAAGCATCGGTGAAATGATAGCAAGCGGTGCCGAACAAATGGCAACCATGCACCCTTGCGGCGAGTGCTCCCTGCACAGTATCACTCTGTGATCTCAAGGTTTAATGGCAAGGACTGTCGCACTCCTCCTCATGGCCAGCATATCAGTGCTAACACAAGCAGTGCTTCCAAACAAAACAGTACAAATCGCACAGATCCCAGCAATGACAGTCGACAAATGTGTTGACAATGAAGGCGCAAGAAACCAAGCTGGTATCAGTAACACACGCAAGATAGGCGGACTTTGATGGGCTTGCTGTCGTGGAGGTGACAACACACAGGCACTTGGGCTTTCAGGTCTTCAACCTCGTACTCGGTATGGAGACTTGCGACCGCTATAAGCTCCGCTCCAGGTCCAAAACTTGCCTGCGCAATCCAATGGACATGCTCCAGACATGTATGTCTATATACACATATACATACATACATACATACATACATACCTACATACGCATATATGTATACAGACATATGTCTACACATACCAGTAGGTTTGAACGTATACTTTTTTCGATGCTGCGCTACTCGCGTACTTTTTGGATGCGAACGTTTACTTTTTGTTTCGGTTTACTTTTTCTGGGGCCTATTTCGCATCGGTTTTATCGGTTGTTATGGGGCCTATTTCGGATCGGTTTTATCGGTTGTTCTGGGGCTTATTTCGGATCGGTTTTATCGGTTGTTCTGGGGCTTATTTCGGGTCGATGTTGCAGTTGAATTGGTGTGAGTTCGAACACCCAAACGGGGTTCCATCCCTTAAACAAATATGGCCCTTTTTGCTCCAGATCCCTATAAAGCCTGTAAACCCTAAATACGAGGCCGAGCTTTATGCCCGCAGACAGCTGTTCGAGGCAGTGCTGTGCGGAGGCTTTCAGAGTTGGTCATGTTAAATATATATATATATATATGTGTATATATATAGAGCTATATATATATTATAGTTTATATAGGGATATTTATATATATATATATATATGTACATATTGACTATATAGACTATATAGATTTACGCAGCAAGTAGGAGGTAGTTCTCTCTTGGTCGGAGAACAGAAGCTCTAGCCGGCTGCCCTCGCTGTCTCCTGTATATAGGCCTGCCCCCATATAGCCGCCCGTAAAACCTTAAATGTATACACCTAAAACAGGCTGGTGGTCTCTTTATCTGATCCTATATAGTATACTGTGTATATATATATATATATGAGGATCCCTAGATACAGCCCCTTAAAACAGAATGAGTAAAGAGACCACCGAGCTATATAACCTATATATACGCCCAAAAACCCGTTGGAAATGAATTTCCCTATACGTTTAGACCCTGACCCGTATATACGACAGACATATATAGAATCTACATTTGTGTAGTCACGTCGTGAGAAGCGCATTTTGCGCTCAATGGCCATGCATTGCTGAGTGGCTTCAGAGGTACGCCCCCAGCCCACCTGTGCTGCTGTTTTTGAGCTGTGCATCATTCAAGTGTGAGATTTGCTTGTGCTGCATGGTGTGCGTGAGCAAAACCTCCGATCACTATAGCAGCTGCTCTGCTTCAAAGTGCTTGTGCATGGATTTCGCATGGACAGCAGCTACAAGCAGGCATCACATATGTACCATGCAATTCAGCAGTCGCAAAGGCACTTGGAGCCAGGGATCGCATGCTTCATCTCTCAAATTGATCAAGTGGTGTCTTCAGTTTCCTTTAAAGATGGCAATTTTCGCAACGGTGGATTGTCTGCATCTCGTGTGGAGCAAGAACCGGGAAATCACATCCCGGCTCGAGGAAGGTGGCCGCTTGGTGAGAGCGGTGGACGGCTCGACTTTCGTTAAGGCCAGCGAGGAGCACTGCTTGGAGAACAGGCACCTGCTAGAAGCATATATGGTCCGCCAGCGTGGAGCGCGAAGCCTAGACGTCCCCGATGTTGAATCGCTGAAAGCGCAACTGATCTCCCTCCATACTTTGTACGCGATGAACCGAGCGAAGACTTCGAAACGACCCAAAGCCCTTCTAGAAGCCACGGTGGAGATTGTTCAAGCCAACGCCCATCTTGATGCGAAAGCATTCAAACGATTGCTTTCGTATGCACGCCAGCGCTTCATGAAACCGCATCTGCCGAAGGATGCTCAGTTGCACATTGTGTTTCCCGAAGTTGATTGCAACATAGTTTAATTCTGAGTGAGTGAGTGATTCTCTGCATGTGTGATGCAACACAGCCTCCTGCCAAGAACCCGGACTTTGCCGACATGCTGAACTTGTGGGGTGAGCAAGAGCCTTCTTTGCAATGTCATGTGAGTGTTTGCATTCAGACCAGATTCAGACCTGCATGCATACGTTAACTTTGCATGCAAGTTGGCCCGCATGATATGTTTGAATGATATTATTGAGGAGCTTTATGGTAAAGGTGGCAAGAAGACCCGGTGGGATGTCACAGATGCTGATGAAGCGGCTGGCATTGAAGATGCCTACGAGGAAGATATGGAAGATGCTGAGGAGGAGGAGGCAGAGTACGATCCAACGCTGGATGTTGACCCTATGCCTGAGCCGGTGCTGGATGTTGCCCGTATCCCTGAGCCGGTGCTGGATGTTGCCCGTATCCCTGAGCCTGTGCTGGATGTTGGCCGTATCCCTGAGCCTGTGCTGGATGCTGTTATCGCTCCACCTGAGGCCCCTGAGCCTCGGAGTGATCCTCCTTTGCAAAAGAAGGGTGTGTTTCATATGAACAGTTCGACCTCGGTTGCTTCAGATGCCACTACCCTTATCCTTGGTCAAAGCCCCGCAACACCCAAGCCGAAGCTGTTGCATGTGCCATCCTCATCGGCCCTTACGCCGTCCCCTCCAAGTCTTCCAGATGCTTCACGTGTGGTGTTCAAAGAAGTGCTGTACGTGGCTGAGTCACCCAGAAAAATGGTGAAAGCAGAGCCTCACGACGAGGCTTTGAAGCCCACCCTTTCCGAGCCAGAACCCATGGACAAGGAAACTGCTATGCGGGAGCTGGCTTTGCTGGAGGCCTACAGGAAGGAACAATTGGCACGTGCAGCCGAAGCTCCCCAATCTGAGGAGGAAGAAGGCGAAATCACCCCAACCGAAGCAGATGCAGAGGAGTCACAGCTAGGTGAAGCCCCAGAGCCAGAACCCATGGACGAGAAAGCCCCAGAGCCAGAACCCATGGACAAGAAAGCTGCTATGCGTGAGCTGGCTTTGTTGCAAGTGCAGTTGCCGCAGTCTCGGTTGTTTCTGGTACAATCGTGCGGTGCGAGTCGATCATTTAATGAAATATATGGATTTGGATTGTTGGCTTTGTTTTGGGCCCCCGTTGAGGTTGCAGCTTCGATCGGGAGCACTTGCCGATGGCAACTTGTCTGTATAGGAGTGTGCATGTGCAGGCATTGCAGGTGTATATACTCAATTAATTCAATTTAAGCGCCCATGTGCAATATGTGGGTGTCTGCATGCACACAAAACTAATGTGGGCATTTTGTGTTCTAGCTTGTATCCCCGCCCAGGACCTGCACCAGCTTCCAAGCCTGTGTTGGACACGGATGACACACAGGTGCCACCACAGACTGTGTTGGATATGGAGGCCGACAGATTGGCACGCCTGAACTCATCTACCGAAATGGTTGAAAGCCTGCCAAACCCGCCTGCCCCTAGGCCTAACTACATGATCGAGTCACACATGTTGTGTATGAACTGTTTGATTGCATGTATTGTTATAGTTTTGCAGTTGCAGCGATATCCCAGGCTATCCGTCGTGAAGAACAGCTGGATGCTAGGAAAAAACGCAAGGAAATAGCTGCTGCCAAGAAAGCAGCTGCCAAGGCAAAGAAGGACACGTATACTTTATAATTGGTTTAATTATATACTGTACTGGTATATATGCATGCATGGATATCATGCAATCATGCAACTTTGTTTCAATCCTGCCGGTGAGGACAAGGAAGCACAGGAGCTGGCCGATGCCGAGGTTTGCCAGGCTCCGGAGACCGATGAGGGCCCAGCTGCCAAGGTTTGCCAGGCTCCGCAGTCCGAGGAGGGCCAGGCTGAGAGTGTTGAGCAGCCGGCAAAGAAGCGCAGAACAGCTGCCAAAAGCAGTTCGAAGAAGCCTAGGGTGCAGGAGGATCCCAAAACAAATGGGGATGCCGTGTCTGGGGATGCTTCG